AAATATTTTATTTGATGATTATAAATTTAAATTATAAATATTTCTTTATCTTTTTCAATGTTAATAAATATATTATTCATTATTATTTAATAAATTTTATTACAATTTTTAAGAATTAATATTATATTAATATAATAGTGCATTTTATAAATATATTTTATAAGAAGAAATATCTTTAATGATAATAATGAAAAAGAAAATATATAATGAAAAAAATATAAGTTATGGTCAATCTCATAAAAACATATTTATTTATATTTCTTTGTAATTTATTTGTTAAATAAGAATATAATAAAATTTTTTTATAATATAAGAAATATATATCAAACAATATAGTTTTGCATTTAGTTAATAATTAATTCAAACTTTTTCGTTGTTAATTATATCTTTATATGATGTTTTCCATAAATTTTTCGCTATATATTATGAATAATGATTCAAATTATGATTTATACAACTAATCTCCTTATAATATTACATTTATTTGTTTACAAACTCTTTTGACTTATATATATGATTATATATATGAATATAATAACAGTTATAAATTTTAATATTTTTAAGTAATAACATAAAAAAATCTCTATAAATTTCTTAACATAGATATCATGTATTATGAATTATTCAATATTACATTGAATTATTCAATACATCAATATTATTTGTTTCTAAAGTATTTCTATAATTTTTAAGTTTTTTTTCTATTTTGTGATTGCTATAAAAAATCATTATAAATCTTTAGAAAATATCGAAGTTTAAGTAAAAAATTTTAAATTTTTCTGATTGCTAATAAAATCCATATTAAAAATAGAAAACTATTAATTTGATATTGCATATACAAATTTCTTTTGTTAAATTATATTTCTTCATAGCGGTAACAATCCTTTGGAAAAATCACTTATTCAAATTTTAAAATTTAAAAATTTTTTCTGGAAAATGTTTGATTAAAACTAATTTTAAAGAAGAAAAAGCTTATTCATTAATCGTTACTATTTTTAAACTTATCGATCAAAGTAATCGTACTATTAATCGTTCATTAATCGTACTATTTTTAAACTTATCGATCAAAGTAAATATATTTTTCATATATATTTTTCAATGTATATGAATACAAATCGCGAAAAAAACGAATCTTAAATAATTGTATTAATTTAATAATTTAATAATTAAAGTAATTGTATTAATTATCTTTAATACATTGGATTTGTATTCAAAATATATAAAAATCAAATAAAAAAATCGTATAAAATAATTTGTAATTTAAATTAATATTTAATTTTTTAAAATATCTTAATTTAATCTTTTTAATATATTTTTCATAATATATGCTTATGTGATATTGATTTTTTCAACAATTGTATATATCGAAAATCATATATAAAAAAAAAATAATTTCAATATTATTTCAATATATTAGAAATATAGAAATTTATTTTATTTTATTACTATTAAATTAGCAATTATGATAGTGCAAATATATTAATAATAAACAAAAAAAAGGTAATAAAAAAAATTTCTAAATTTACTTTATTATAATTATTATTGTAATTTATTTTCTTATGAATGTAAATAATTGTTTTTTATGAAGAATGTATATAAGAAGTTACTAAGAAAGTATTCAAAAATATTCTCAAATATTAATGCAAATATTAATTTAAATGCAATAAATTAATATATGTACGCATAACTATTCTGTTATGAAATTATATTTAATTTATTAGCAAAAATGTAACTTACAAATTTTACTTAATATTTTGTTACAAAATTATTGAAGGATTTGTTACTAAATTATACAAAAAAATTTTTGAATAATACGTTAAGAAGATTTCCAAGAGGAAATATTTAAAATGAATTATCGTATTCTTTCTCGTTACCATGGAATTACAAAATAATTGATTTAACAAGAAATATCATCGCGTACTATTCCTTAAAGTGACGTGCAAATTGTTCGTGTATAATCATAAGTAGAAACTGATTGATAAAAAATGCAAGCTAAAAAAAAAAAAGTCAAAACTAAAAAAGTAAAGAGAAAATATTTGGATGAAAAAGAAACTTTGTCTTATGAACAAGAGATTTTGGATAATAATAGACAATTAGCACGGTAAATATATATATATATATATATAAATGCATAGATTTATAAATACTGATTTTTTTAGATTCACATATATTGATATTTATTAAAGTTATTGAATATACAATGTGTATATATATACATATGTGTATGAATATATGTATATATATGTATATACATTTAATAAGTAAGAATATAAATGAATTTAAATGAATTTAGCAAAATATCAATTAAATTACAATCGATTTTATTATTTATTTCTTCTCAGATAGCATAAAAACATTCCATATACGTGACTTAAAAATATTTAAATACTAATATATCTTTAATTTTAATAATCTATTTTAATAATCTATTTGTTAAAAAAATTATGAAAAAAATAAATTCAAATTTGTTTTTTTTTGATAAATAAATACATATTTATTATACTTTATTAATATATAACTTATTTAATTAAGTTGACATATAAAATAATATTAAAAATTAAATGAAATTATAACTGTTTTTCATATCAAGTTATATTCAGATATTTTAATAATAAAATATTTTTATAATAAAATAATTAAAATAATTTTTTTGTAAAAATTAAATATTAATTTTAATATTTTTCTAATTTTATAACATATCTTAGTAATTTGAGATAGTAATGCAATAATTTTTTTTTATTAATTTTTTATTGTTTTTTATCTTATTTTTATTTTTGATAAATATATTATTTTTGTTTATTATTGTTTTTTACATTTAATAACATTGATATAAAAATATTCATGCAATTATAAAAATTTCGTTATTTTAATATAATAATTTAAATGTGTAATGTGTCCGAATATTTACAAATTAAAAATTTTTCTTTGGTTTATGCTGTATAATATGTACAAAAATTTTGATTAAAACTTATTTTTTAAAAGTGTTTAAGTAGGAAATATAGAATGATATTATAATTATAAAGCACAGCTTTGTTCTATCTTCACACTGACTTGTTTTATTTAATAAATTTAAATTATTTATTATTTTATAAATTTCAACATTTATTTTCAATATTTTTCAAAAACATTCAAAATTTAGATATGAATTAAAAAACAAATATTTAGAATATATAAAATTTAAATCCTAAGATTCATAGAACTTCAGAATTTAAAACATTGAAATTTACTAATATCCTAGGGATATCTAAAATGAACGTAATATATACAAATAAAAATTGAATATGAAACAAGATACTATTTGGATTTATTTCATATTTTATTAGAATATAAACTAATTAAAAAAAATAATAGATAATTATTCATATAAGAAGAGGGTTCTTGATTTTGATGATTTTTGAATATATTATAGAATACAAAAATTAAAAAAATTTTTTTTTGCATATTACCAATTTATTTGCATATTGCCAAATTTTAATTTTTAAGATATTTGCAAAAAAGATTACTACTATTACATAGAATTTTTTTTATAGGTATATTCGTGTCTGTACGTGTGTGAGCATGTAACTGTTATTTATCTTTTGTTAATATAAAATGGCAGCAGCAGACAATATAATGAATTAATGAAAAAATCTATTTCATGAATTAAAGTAATTATTATTTAAAATATCTCAAATTTAATGAGTTAAGCTTGTGAAAAGACGGAAAGCAAGAAACCGAAATTACAAAAATAGATACAAGAATGATGCTGATATTTATTATAAATTTAGTCTTTATAATTTTGTTCAAAAATTATTTTATTTTTGCATTCCATGAATCCAACGAACATCATTTGCTATTATTTTATAAAAATAATAGATAAATGATTGTATAGTTATATGCATACCCAACCACAAATATATATATATATATAGAGAAATTTTATGTAATAGCAATTTTTTTTTGCAAATATCTCGGGAAATAAGATTGCCGATTAATGATCCAATATTCAAAGGAAAAACTTGTTCAAAATTTTATTCTATATAGTATATCCAAAAATCATTAAAATCGGTATGATATTTTAAAAAGAATAATTTAAAAAATGTTAAAGATAAACGAATATTATACAAAAGTTAATAATTTGGAAAAATAGAATTTCCAAAAGAGAAATGCAATATATATGTATATATACATATATGTATATATACGTATGTATTAAAATAATAAATAATAAGTTTCATATTTTTAAAATTTTTTTACACTTTAAAACTAGAAAAAATATTTAAAATTGATATTTATATATAAAATATTAAAAAAAAGGAATACAAAAAAAATAATAATTTAAAAATAGAGAAGAATTTTTGAACTAATGAAATTTAACAAAAATAAATTAGATTAAGAATTGAAAATGAAAAACTGGAAAAAGAAGCAATGCGCATAAAAGAAAAATTCCAACAATTAGAAGAAGATCGTTCGGATATTATAGCATATTTGAAAAGAAGTTTAGAAAACAGAATCGAGGAATCGAAGGAACTTTCTGAGAGGGTTACCGTTTTGGAAGAATTGCGAAAGGATGAATTAGCTGCGTTTAAAAAGAAGGAAGATGCAATGCAACTGGAATATAAGACAATGGAAAATAATTTAAGCGCAGAAGTTAAATTAGCTGGTGAAGTATAATTCAATTTTTTTAAAAATCCTGATTAAATTAGTACTTTGTTAAATATAGATATTATATATATGTATATATATATATATTCAATATCAAATTGATGTTTAGTTTATAATAAATATAATAATAATTATAATAAATATTTATAATAAATATATAATAAGAGTTCTAATGTGCACTAATAGAAATGTATAATAATAGAAGCAGTTTTAAATTCATTATCTATATATTTTAATATTATAAAATTTATTCTACATATACATATATTTATTTTTAAAATATTAATAAGCTTTTTATTTTATTATTTATTATTACATGCAGATATAATTAAATAAAGTATATATATTATCGAATATATAATAATTTTTAATTGTCTTTATATAGATGAATTTTAATCATATTAATTTTATTGTATTTTAAAAATAATAAAAAATAAATTTATTATTTATCGTAATCTTTTTGTTTAGCTGGTAAATTAAATGCATTAGAAGATTGGCGAATAGCTCGACTTGATTTGATGAACAAATTTGAGAAGCAAGAGAAGGAGATGGCTGAACAAGAAATGCGTCATAAAGAGGAACTTTACGAAGCCGAAAAATCTATAGTTACCAAAAAAGACATGTATGTTTCATTAAAAAATTCAAATTTAAAAATAATCTAATCTAAATAAGTTAAGTTGCGGATGTTTATACAAATACATATTTCTATAGAAAATAGATATAATATTAAATAGATATAATAAATAGATATAATAGAAAAATAGAATTAATATAGTTTATTTTCTCATTTAAGAATTTCAAAAAAATATATTTTATTTTAAATATGTTGCACATTGCATATTATATATTATTTTTTTATTACGCATATTATGTACATATATTTTTTGTACATTTTTTATTTAGCTATTAATTATCCACTAAATTTAAAATCAAATTATTAAAACTGTTAAATACTTGTTAATAGTTTTTTGGATCATATATATACATGATATATATATGTATGATATGATTATACATGTATATAATACAATTATCAATGATATATTATAGCACAATTAGATTCTAAAGTATATATATATTATAAAAAGTTAATGAAGAAGAATGTTGATTTAAGAAGCAAGAAATCCTTTAAGAAATAGATATCTAAAATTGATGATTCTCATTTTATTTAATTATTTGTGATTCATGTAATATTTGAAATTATAAAAGCGATTTTTAATTATATTACATATATAATATTAATATATTCATAGAATATCTTTGGAAAATTAATGCTATGAATTCAAAAAAGCATGTATACACAAAAATTATATACAAATATATATATATCGATTAAAACTTAAATTAATTTAAATTAATAACTTAAATATTATAATTTAAATTTTCGTTAAATGAAACGAGGCAGAGACAATGTTAAATAATGAAAATACAGCTATCTCGTTTTATTCAATATTTAATCTTGAAAGATTTCCTATGAATATATTAATATCCTATATAAGTTTTTTATTACATTCTAATGCATCTATCATATTCTAATACAATAATGAATAGAAATACTTATATGATTCGTATATCAATCATTTTAAATAAAGATAATTTTTTTTTATATTTTCAATTATGACGTAATGCAAATATATAGCAAATATCTATATTTTATTTTACATATATAAATAATAGACTGTAAATATTTATAAAAATTCTATTATATATAATATTAAATATATATTTCGTTTCGAATATTTAGTATCTTTTTGAATATCATATGCATTCTGTAAATTTGAATTATTCATAAATGCATAAATATCTGTAGATTAATAGTAAAATAATAAAGTAAATAAAGTAAAAATAATAGTAAATATAACAAGTATAGATACACATATACAAAAATGAAAATATAAATAGAAAAAAATTTGTTTTAATTCAATTAATTCTTAATTAATACATATCATAATTAATATTATTAATTAGTATATCATAAAAAGTTTTATTTTTATTTCTTATTTCATTATTCTTATTCTTATAATATACATTATATATTATTATCTTATATTTCTTATTTCTTTTATTTCATTACATAAGATTATATACAGGATTAAAATATATACATATATGAATATATATACATATATTATATATTCATATACTTAAAATATATAAATTTATATATCTTTCTATTATCTTTTATACATTTAAAAATAAATTAATTAAACTATTATTATTCTTATTATTATATATTATTATTTTTATTATTATTCTTTATATTTATTATTTTCGCCAAGGTATTTTATACAGATTATATTTCATTATCACAGATAATAAATATAAATTTTAGAAGAAATATAAAACAATAACATATATAACTATTCTTTATTTTTCATATATTTTATTTATATTATGTATATGTTGACATATTATATTTGTATAAAGATCCGCAAACTAATAATATTGCATGTAATTTAATAAATCAAAATTATTGAATTAAAAATTCATATTTTAATCATTTATACATATATGTAAAATTATAATTATAATTATAATATTTTATATTTAAATTCAATTAAATTATAATTATTCATGAATCTGCTAGTTAGTAGCAGATTCTTTTCTCACCGATTTTGTCTTTGAAATATGTTATATCATTTTAAGCAACTTTTTCTTTTATTGGTAATTGGTAATCAATCTTCATAGTTTTCGAATTATTCGATATTATCACATTTTATAAATTATGCATTTGTAGCAATAAGTGCGACAATGTGCGATTATTATATTTTAAATATTTATGTATATAAAATATTAATATATTCGTAAAGAATTGATTCTAGACGCCAAGATAAATGTTGGTTGATATATAAAAATATTGATTGAATTTATTTATTAAATTATAAGTTACTGAAGTTTGTAAATAAAAAAAAAACGAAATGAAACTCACTCTATCTTTATAAATCATCTTTTTGTCTTATTTCATGTAATGTGAATTTAAATTGCTTATAATTTAATAAGTAACACATTTATGTATTTTGATTTTGAGATTCATAAAATTAAAGCCACGTGTAACGGAAAATTTTATTTAAAATGATGTTTTTTATAACATATTTCAAGTAATCATAATCATTGAAAAGAAGGAAATAAATCGACATATTAAATACTAATGAAACATTGCAAAATACAAATGAAGTAAATAATAAAAAAAATTGTCTTTTATTTATTTAAAAAATACAAGTATAATAAATTATTCTTTGCTAAATGCTAAAAAAACATTTAAATTATTATATAAATAGAGATGAATTTGCATATAAAATATTTGCCAAAAACTCTATTAATTCTTATACAAAGAATAGTTTATTATTATTAGGAGTATTTAAGTATTATTAATGAATAATTAACTTATAGGTAACTTATTTTTTAAATGAAGTAGAATTTTATATATCAATCAAAAGAAGACATAAAACATAGAATAATAATTAAAATAAAAGTATACATATTATCCTTATAAAATAATTAAGAAATAAAGGATTTGAAATTAATATCATAGTTAAAACATCCAGTTTGAAAACAAAAGAACTTTTTTATAGATCAGAAATCAAATAAAAACAGAGAAAAGATGTAATATAAAGATAAAAAAATATATATGAGAATTTAGAATTAAAAATTTATTTAGAAAAAAATAGCAATTATCTTGCAAAATGAAAAATATATCACAATATTTTCGATAGTATTTTTTTGAATATTTGTTTTATTAATCATATCTACATGATCAAACAACAAAAATATCAGATCTTTTAAATTTTTTCATAATAAAAAAATATATCTTTACATAGATAAATATTATATAGATATTCGAATTAACTCTCATCTGATTATTCTGCAATAATAGTAACTTCAAAAAAATATACAAAAGGAAAGATGGCCTTCCTTAAAAAACTAAAAAATTAATTAGATATAATTCAGAGACTAAGTAATATAAGAGACTAAATAATAATAAAATAATAATTAAATAATAATAATAAAGGTAAAAATTTAAATTTTAAAATTTTAAAAACTCAAGATTATAAAATATTTAGAAAATTTAGAAAATTTAATACAAATTTTCTAATATGCGACATGAAAATTTATTATTATATATTCATATTAAAAATAAAATATTTCCAATTATTGTAGAGAAAGAAAAAATAATAAATATCAAAATATAAAGAGAAAAAAATATTTAATTAATTATGTAAATTAAAAAAGCTACTGCATATAAATATTTATGTAAATACTGTATATAAACAAAAATGAAAATATTTGAGAATTCATTGAAAAAAAATAAGACAATTACTCATTAAAAACTTAAAAAGCTAAAATAATGTATACCTTTATGAATTAAGAAAGCAATATCTGATTAGAAAAGATAAAAAGAATGGCAAAGATTTGCAATTTGTAATACACTTTTCTAAAAATATTAATAATAAAAAAAGAACTGAAAACGATAATAATGCTATCATATCATATTTAGATGCCATTAAATCTATGAGTCCCATAGAAAAATAAATAATAATAATAAAAATAATAATAAAATTTCTAGTAAATATTTAATAAAACAAATAAAATAGTTTAACAATGGAAAAACAATAGAGACTTGATTACAAAGGAAATTGCTAGCAAAATTGCTAAAAAAATTTCCAAAAAAGAAGAAGTTGCGTTAACATATATGTGTGTGTATGTGTGCGCGCGCGTGTATGTAATATGATTATAAGGTTTCATAATATTTTTTAATTCATTTCAATTAAATCAATTAAAAAAATTTGCAATAAATTAGAGTATTACAATCAATTTATAATACTCTATTCACAATATCAAAAATATTTAAAAATATTTATATTAAAATTATTAAAATATATGACTATGCAAATAACAATGGAGCATATACATCGAATTGTAAATGAAATAAAATAATTTTGAAAAAAACAAGATATATTCAGTTATAATCATAGATATTAGCCAATTTTCTAATATTTGAAGGAAGATTACTTTATATAAAATAAAACACGATTTTCCACACAATTACTATTTTAATTACTATTAAAATTTAATATAAGCAAAAAGAAATTATATTATACTAAATTTTTATAACAGATCTCTTTATAACCAATGAAATACCTACATATACTGATAACACGACAATTTTAGCATCATATAAAAAAACGAAATCAAAATTCTATAGAATAAATAAAATTGAAATGTTAAAAAAAAATCGAAAATCAAATTAAATCAATTCTACAAAATACATACCATCTCTTCAAAAAAATATATAGAGCATTTTAAAAGTCTGTCAATAAGATAGATGATTTGACTAGTAATTTTTGATTTTAAGCAATTTTTTGCAAAAATTTTCGTTTTGATTCTATTATAATTACTATTATTTAATTATAAACAAAAAATATTAGTCTACAGAGTGTAGGCTGTAATGCAATAATTAGCCAATATTTTTCAAAGTTAATAATTCATTAACAAAACGGAAACGAAAATTTCCGCGAAAAAATTGTTTGAAATCAGTTCAGGAGTCAATTTTAAGTCTTGTTAAATTCTCTGTTTAGTAAAAGCATGTTAAGTATCTTAAACAACTTACCTAAAAATAATATTTAATATTTAAAAATAAGAAAAAGAAAAAGCAATTAGATATTAAACTGAAGAAAATTGAACAATAAATTATTAATATATAAAAATGCTGTAATATCAATATGATCATATGGAAATTAATTATAAGATTGTTTTAAAAAATACAACATCAATTTTTAAATTTAAATAAATTTAAATAAATAAAATAAATTTAAACAAGTTATTTAACATTTTTAAAATTTTTAAAAAACTTCAAAATGATACTGTAATACATATTATGATGATACATAATGATACATAATGATACATGATGATACATAAATGATACTGTAATACAAATCGAATAGATCTTCAGATAAAATGGATTCATCTAAAATCAAATGAAATTGCATAAAAAATAAATACATTAAGTAGAAATTTGATGAAGAATTTATTACAATTTAAATAATTGAAAAAAACAAATATAAAATAATTAATTATAATAAGTTGATTCCTGAAGGATTATTTGTAAATGATTATTATCTTGTCGCACATACATACAGATGTAAATCATATTTGAATGATCTAGTGATCTAATTGATTAGATCAATTATTATATTTAAATTAATAATAATTTTAAGTAAAAAAAATTTATCTTTAACTTTAAAATGGTAAAATGGAAATATATTAACATTTTGGAGAGATTTTAAGATAGACTAATACAAAATTTATTTAAATTTAGGAATTAATGGAACTTAAAAATATTTACAATTACAGTATTATTATTTACAATTGTAGTACATAATTATAATTTGAATTTGTGCAGGATGCAAAAAGAAATGAAGGAACAGTTGCAAATTTTATCGGAAAGACTTCTGAAAGCGGTTACACTACGAATAACAGAAATCATCAATCGTACAATTCGTGAAAACGTGGCGTTGAATCGTGATCTAGATAAATTGCTAGAAACAAATAAGAAACTCGAAAATATTAACATCGAACACAAAAAAGTAGAACAGATATTAAAATTAAAATGGCAACTATATGAAAAGGAGGCGGAAATTACACAAAATAAAATAGTGAAACAAAGAAATGAGATGCATAAAATTGTTGAGGTAAAATTATTAATATTATTTATATTAAATATAATATAATTATTATACGAGTTTATAATATAGAAGATATATTTTCTGTTTCCTGACAATAAGAACTTGAATATTTTTTATTTTCAACATTTTCAATTATTGATCTTCAATTTATATATAATATAAATTATATTAAATTATATTATTT